TCGAGTGAATACCGGTACACAAGCAAGCTTTTCTTCCAAAATAACATGAGTAATGTTATTGACCTCATCATTCCCTACAGTTCTTAAGAGAGCACAGTCAGGAGTCACAATACATGGCTTCAAATCAAGAAACAAATCTCTGATGTCACAGGAAATATGGATCGATGGCAGTCAAATCATAAAATGTATGTGAAGCTAAAGTTATCTTTTGACAAGATATGATTACAAACATTAGCATCCAAACCTTCTTTACCTTAAATCAGCTCATCCTTGAGGGTTGCCAACATTTTAAACTCATTTGTGCTTTTTTTAAATGTGAAAGACCAAAGTTCTTTAACCGACTCCACAAATTGAAAACACCATTTAAGCTGTTAAAAATAGGTGAACCATAATGTCAATCAACCATGTGCGTATTTAAGTGCTGTCATGTCTTTTTTGCACCTTTTGGAAAAATGAAAGAGGCTCAGTGAAGTCGCGAGGCTCATAGCTGTTAAGCTTGTATACGCTCAAATCGTCAGTGAGTTTGAAAGCTTCACAATAGGTTACTTCACAGTTTTGTAACCTTTTTCTTTTTATATTTAAGTATGCAGTAACTTTTGTACTGTACATTGCTGTAGTTCGAATGCATATTGCACTTTTTATGTTTGTCAAAATAATGTACTGTATGTGTTAATTATGGAAAATAAACATTTCTTTACATAATAATAATTCCTTACATTCATAGCACTTTTCCAGATGCTCAAAGCGCTTTACAAATACACATTACACACATATCATACATGTAACTGTCATGTACTGTGGACAATACCCACAAATTCAGGTGAAGTGTCTTGCCCAAGGACACAACGGCTTTACAGACGCAGCGGCGGCGGGTTTCGAACTGGTGTTCCCCAACACCCCCTTGATCTGATGATCAACGCACAGCCCACTGCGACACTCCGCCCATCTTCACACCTCAAAGTCATCAAGGCCAAGTACACATTACACACATATCATACATGTAACGGTCATGTACTGTGGACAGTACCCACAGGAGCAAATTCGGGTGAATTGTCTTGCCCAAGGACACAACGGCCTGACGCAGTGGCGGGTTTCGAACTGGAGTTCCCCAACGCCACCCTTGATCTGATGATCAACGCACAGCCCACTGCGCCACTATGTCCCAATATACCGTTTTTTTCTTCTTCTTGTGAACACAATTTAACAAAACTATTGGTATTGGATATACACAAACAATAACATGGGATTGTTAATTACCCTTAATGTTATGCATGCTGTGTATAAGGCCTTCCTGAAGAGGGAAAATATCATAAGCATATCTGAGTAGTAAGTCAACATTGATGGTGTGTGTTCTGAAATTACATCATCGTGCCCCCATGTATGTTTTGGCAGTGGAGGTTTTCTACCAGCGAGGTTATATAACGTTTTGCTTCCCGTCACTGTTTGCATGACATCAGTGAATTACTTGAGCTACACACTCTTGTTCCTCCTGTTTTATATGACTGCGTGTCTGCACCATGAATGCTAGCCCTGTGTACAATAGAGCATGTGTTGGCGTTGCATTGAGGCCGTTTTTCATGTTTTGTGTGTGAGTTGAAACTGCTTTTCATTTTTTTTGCATGAAACCTGAGACCTGAAATGTGAAATGAAAAATCATGTGCTAAGTTTTGACTTACTAAACTTGTAAAATATTTAAATGACAGCAGGGCTAAATTAGAGGCTTCATTAGTTTGTCAATGAGCTTGTGGAGTCTGTCTTTAATTCGAAACAGATTGCCTTTTTGTCTAGACAACCTTAAGAGGGACATGTAACACTTTTCAATGTGAGGACTGCCTGCCTGTCAGCGCAGCAGCCTTCTTAACCCCCTCTTCCCCTTCTTCTGCTGGAGAATTATTGGCTGACGTAGCCTACCTCCACTTGTGTTTTATTATCTGAGGACGTATCCTGTTTTGGACATCACTATGGAGACCAAGAAAAACAAAAGGATAAGGTCTGAGCTATTTTTCAGATAATTTCCTTCACTCCTGGACGTACCCAGATTGGCTAGAATTACTCACCATTTATCCCAGACACAGGCGTGCTTTTACCATGTAGCTTCCTGGACTGTAGCAGTAAGGACAGTGACATCAGCATGCAAACATGTTGGGTAAGGGGAAACATAGAAATGGGACATTCCTTGTACTCAATCTTGTTTTAGAGTCTGCTTTAACACTATCATCCACTTGTATTTCCCTATTTTGATATAAGTTTAAAAGGTCACCACTTGTGTTTCTAAAATGTCAGCTCCAAACATTTACAAAAACACATTCTCCACGTAGGCTACCTGAATCAAGCAAATCCATCCATCCATCCATCTTCTCCCGCTTATCCGTGGTCGGGTCGCGGGGGTAGGTTCAAGCAAATCAACGAGTTATTTACGATCATTTCTCAAAACAACAAATAGCAACAGTGAGTTTCCCCTGATTGTATTAGTCAAATGAGCTGTGACATCACATGGATGTAATATAAGGCTCCCATTGCTTGTGCATTTGAGGGAGGACTAAACATCGGCAAAAAACCAACAAAGAGCACTCTGTCGGTCCTGAGGGAGAGCGGACAACTCGGCTACACGTCTAACTGGTAAGTGACAGCCGAAACATAGGCCAGGCCTGTGCCCAGCTGGTGTTGTACTAATCAGAGTTCAGAAAAAATTATAAAGTGTTTATTTTCCAAATGCTACAACTTGTGATAGATTCCTGGTTCATTGGTTTTGAATTCCTGTGTGTCCGAGTTTGTTGAGGCTGTGGAGCAGAGCACATGCTGATCAAGTGATCCGCCTCGGGAGTTCATGGGGGGGAAGAGACAGGATAACAGAGCAGTTGTTACCAGGGTTTTACGGCCTGAAGGGAAGGCAAAAACATTTGTTTTCTCATGCAATGGAGAAGGAGTTAGGCCTATTTTGATTCCATAACATGTCTCCTTTCAGACTAGTGAAAAGAGAACATTCAAAGTACCCATTTTGGTGTTTTAATCCACTTTGTCTATATTTGTGTTGAGATTTCTCCCAAATACACCACATTTTACAATCAGATAATATAACTAATCAAGTTTTACTGGGTGTAGTAGTAACACATTTCTACCTTATTTCCCTGTAATGCCTTGCAAAATGTATTGCAACATATCTCGAAAGGCTGTTTTGTTCAAATGTGTTTTTCTTATTATTCACTGAGCCACATATCTCATCTTCTGTAGAATTTAAATTACATCAACTTCCTAACTTTGTTTTTTAGGTGTGTTCGGGAACCAAATTTATGTAAAACAATACCCTAAAAGCCGATGAAATTTGATTATTTGTATATATCTTTATGTCTGTTGACAGTATTTTCCGATGCATGTAGTAGAAGTAGATACTAAAAAATCAACCTTGAAAATCATTGGCTCTAAAATGTTTACAATATGAAACAATCATTTTGAACCAGGCTTTATCCAATGTTCTGTTCTGGTAACGTATTCAAATAAGCAAGTATTTAATGGGATAATCCCTCAATTATAATTTTAAACAAAACATTTCCAAACACTACAACAATTATAAAAAATGAAATACACAAATAATAGTGATATTTTCATGATACCAACTTGATGAGTCCACGACTACAGTGTTCTGTAGCTTTATTGATGCCCTCACACACTATCTTTTTGTCGTGTCGTCTTTTTTACACACACTCGCTCTGTCCCTCACTCATAATACCACAGCATGAAAACAATATGTGTGTATTTACTAAGACAGCGCTGCCTTCATTGTGAGAACATCAGCTGTGTGTCTGGGAGAAGTGGGGGCTGTCAGATGATTAGACAACAGCAGTCATATGTTGTCACACAGACTAGGCATGAGTCCATAGACAGGAAACAGACTCATGGTCCACATCATTGTTCATTGTGTCTCCCCATTTTCTCTGCTTACTGCTGCAGTCTAGTGGGTCTTTACTGCTTAAACAATTAGACTATCTCATGGCAAAGTTGAACTCTGCAAGAAGATTAGCCAGGTTTTTGCCCTATGTTCAATCCGCCATCCTCCTGCTGTTACTAATACAAGGGTGTGGTTCCTCTAAGAGGCAAGGTTACAAAAAGGATAATCATAACAGGACTTCTGGTTGAATAAACCTGCAAAACATTCTAACACAACAATCTAGCTTACATGTATAAAAGAAAAGTGCATGGAAACGATTTTCTGACCTCCATCATAGGACTTTGAAATGCTTTGAAAGAGTAATCAATAGGTTGGACTCCTGTTATCTGCTGCAGTGTTGATGCTCCCAAAACATTAATCACAGTTTTTATATATCAAGACTGTAAAAAAATACAAATCAAATCTTTATCTCCACAATAATTTATGTTGCTTTTTTGTTTGTAGGAGTTGTAGCCAAAATGTGTTTGAAATCCATTTTTGGAAGTTGGGAATGGATTCAAAAACTTAAAATAATCTTGTTGTTCCGCAACGCTATACTTTTCAGCACAATATTAAAACATGATAACCATGTGAGGATCTATAGGTAAAATAAATATATACTTCTGGGCTAACATTGCCAACACGTGGCATGATTTGGGAAGATCAGTGTTTTGTTGTGAGGTTAACACCATGTCTTCTTCCACAGACCAGTATGGGGCAGAAACCAGGATAAACTTGAAGGGGGAGAACAGGCCCTGGGTGAGGGATCGGAGGACGCTAAACCGGGCCCTGACTCAGGAGCGGCAGGTAGTCATTCAGGGGATGTCATGGAGGGAGGAAGCTCCTGTGAGGAGGAGGAGGAAGAGGAGGAGGAGGAGGCTGGTAACTCCAGGACAAATCTAGAGGAGCCAGACGCTCAGGACCTGGACGGGAGCCGCGGCCAGGAGCCAGCAACACCTTCTAGTGAGAAGCACATAAATGTGTGGGTTAGTCCTTCTGCTGCAAGGGAGGTGAGACAGGGAGGGGCTGCAGGAGGAGGAGGAGGAGGAGGAGGAGGCAGGACGGCTCCACTGGAGACAGACCAAAAGAGTAGTGTGAGGATTGAGGAAAGAGCCGGAGCACAGAGGCTTTTCAATCAACCCAAGAGAGAGAAGAAAACTGAGGTGCAGCTTCAAACATCATCAAAGATCAAGATGGAGCACCAGAATGAGGGGAGTGTCCCACTTGAGGAGATCCAAGAAGAAGACTTCTCAGCTGAAGAGTTGAATGAAGAGTCTGGGCCTGCTGCTACCTCAGGTGATGCAATTGAAAACACTGAAGAAGACCCTGTGAGGATGAAGATGAGCAGATGTGGAGATCTTGCAGGAAGTGAGTCGTTACTGTCTGTTCAACCAAATCAGCATGGCACCATCATGGCTGAAGTTGAAGATGTTAAACTCTGCACAGGACCAGTGGAGCGCTTGAGTGCGAGGAAGGAGCCGCCTACAGCTCAACCCCAACATGCTTTGAAAAACACGCTGCAGAAAGAGTCTCTATTAGACCTGAGTGATACCATTCACTGTAGACCTCCAAAGAAGAGAACAGAGAATAATACAAAAGAGGAAGCATGTGAGGTGAAGCAAGTTTTGAACCTCAACTGTTCAACAAAACCAAAGGTCACTGAAACTGATGATCAAAGGGAGTCTGCAGGGCCCAATCGACAAATGGACACAACTGAAACAGCCACGAACCAAAAGATAGATTTGCCAGCCGTTGAACCCAGTTCTATTTTGATAAAGCTACTAAGGAGAAATAGAAAGGAAACAACAGAGCTATCCACCGATAAAATCCAGCAATCCGATGTAAATACATCTTCGTCATGTGACAGGAAGGGGTTGAAAGAAAAACTGGCTGAAGAAAAACATGCAACCAAAGACCCTCATGTGGATATGAAGCAGACGGAAATGTATGACACTTCGACCTCAGATTGTCTTCAATCTCAGCCTGGAGTGATTGGTAACACATTGTGTGAGAACTCACTCATAAAATCCCTCTGTCCCAAAGATGATTGTCAGATTGTGGGGGAGAATATCAACTCAGCAGAGGCTTCAATCAATGAGGATATGGAGAGAAAAGAAAACCTGTCTTCAGACAACTTACAATCAGCCGTCTCACATGAGAGAACGTCATGCGAAGTGAGTATTGTGATTTCTGAGGAATTTGCACCTTTATCAAGGTCTGATTCAAAGTCTCCCTCCACTAAAAGGGATGGACAAAGTGCAGATTCATGCAATGTACTTATTTCTGAGAAGACAGACACCAGAAGACCACCTCTACAAGTAAAGGGTGACCGTGAGCGCCCAGCTGATCTGCAGTTATCTGGCTCTGCATGCTCAGATGCACAACCTGTGACGGGAAGGAAGGTGAAAAACTCCACTGAGGACACTATTTTGGTTGCAGCTGGCACAGTTATCTCTGAGAAAAGCCACCAGATCATGAAGGAGGATCTTAATATGAAATGTAAAGCAAATACATTGCCACAACAGCCTGATGAACAACCTGGCAAAGAGGGGAATGATGGTGTCTCAGTGAGAGATAAATCCCAAGACAGCCCTAAATCCAGGCCTGTGTCAGCTCTCATAATGGAGACCATTCAACTGCATGAAAGGCTGCAGCACCACGACCGGCCAAAGTCAGATGAAGTAAAGTGTGATGAGCAGGGCCATTCTGTGAAGGTGGCACAGATGAAGGCGGCTTTCGACTCTGCTCAGAAATCCCCTGACAAGGCAATTCAGAGGAAGCCATCCATGAGAAAAGGTAAGGTTAAAATATGTCCTATTGCAAGAATAGTATCAAATTATATAACCCTAACCCTATTATATATATACCAGGTTAACAGGGTGTCAAGTAAATTGTTAATGAATGAGTCAATTGATATATAAAGACAATAAACCAATGTTATCCTGTTCCATTAACCGTGATAATTTGGGCAACCAGTTTCACCACAAACCCTCATCCAGCACTTTGCAACCTTGTTAAGAAAAATTTCTATATAAAGGGAGTTTATTATTATCCACTAGAATGAGAAAGGGTGAATAAATACAGTTTGGATGATGGAATACAGCTGTTGTCTTCTGTCAATGGTGGATGGATGTGTCAAATAACGCCATCTTGTGGTGCGGTGATACACATGTGGTACACTGTGTTCTTCAGGAGAATCGGGATTGTTTTTCCTTATTAAATTATATGTAGAATAATAACATTGTATAAGCATGTTCCACTGTTCAATGCGTATCACATATTGGAGTTTTGTTTACATTCATGGATATTTAAAACCTCCGTTACAAAAGACGATCAAGGCATTACTTTCTCTCGTAGAATTATTCAATCGTACACTTTTTTTATATCATCATATTTGGTTTTCATATACATCCCCATTCATTCACTGTTGCACGTAAAGTCAACACATGATAACACACAGTCTACCAAATTATTATTGCCTCGCCTTACAATGAACCATAAATACATTGTATAATATGTGCACGCACAATGATGCTTCTCTAATAATAAGGTTAATAGAGAGATAGTGATTGATGGATAGTAAATATATAAAAACAGATAATAGGGGTGACACCACACAGGAGATTAAAACGCCATAAATGCCACCATGAACAAACAATTGATGGTGATTTTCGGTAAATGGGAACCTGAAGAAAGGAGGCGTGAGATCCGATCCTTGTTATCCAAAACGACATTTCGATTGGCTGTTGAAGCTGTCCGTCAAAACCAGCTGATCCACTCAGAGCTCGCCAAGCCAAGGCAGGGGGCGGGACTAGCGGCAGAGTTGGGAAAGAGCACAGAGCACAGAGCGGTGTCAGCAGCAGCAGCGGCTCCGGCAGAGGGAGGAATCAAGTGGTGAACGCGTTGGGCTGTGATATAGCATTTCGGGAATACTTTAATTTTCCTCTCAGAAGGTAGGTTACAGATTCATTTTGAATGTTTATAACTGGTTTTACCCCCACCCTTTCTTTTAAAAACACTCAGCGTTCGTCCACCTTCCAGACAGACAGGAAAGTGCACACGCTAGCTAAAATGTATGGGGATAGTCTGTTTTAAAAAAAAGCTAGCACTAGCCTTCAACGGCTATTATCTGACAATGCCTAAAAGTTTCTCAGCGATCATCAAAGCAGTAGCTGGTTTCATGGTGGGGGTTTTGTTCCTCTTGGTGTTGTGGGTGGGTTTGGTGGATCATTTTACGACATGAAATGTGCTGTTGCACGTTATTGAGCGGGGTGGGGTAGCTAACCACAGTGCGGCAGGAAAACTTATCTCTGAACGATAGATCCACAGACATGGAGGTGCAGCAGGCAGCACAACCGCGCCCTGGCCCCTGGCCCCCTGTTAATGTTCATACTAAACAATGGGATCCAAACATACCAAGAATCTACTCTTTCATTATTACAGAGGATATATATTTTTGAACAATCTATTTTTGATTTAATTCCAATATCCGCAATATTTACCGAGATGCCAGGTTCAGATTTGACCCACTAAAACACACTGGTTTGGGAGACAAATGGGAAAGTGTCACAGCATAGAAAATGTGGCTGCCTCCATGCTAGCAACTACACATGTTAACCGAATGCATTGACAATGTGTCCTGCACCAGCTATGCTTGTTTGGCCATAACACGTGCAGAATTGTTGGTATGAAATTATGCAAGTCTGTGCAAAAACGACCTTTATTTAGTTCTAGTCAATGAGGGCAGACAGGAATATCGTGTTGCTTCACCTGAGCAGTGCTGAGTCCCTACAGTATTATATTGACAGCTGCCTTTTTCCCCGAGTACTTGAACCTACAAAAAGTGCACATTATTTAGTCTTGCTTGTATTTTCCTGATGAGACTGATATTGGTGTTGTATTTAAAGTTTCCTAGACCACATATGTTGTATTTGAGTAACTGGTATTTGGCATTGACTGAAATAATCAACCTAATCTTCTGCCCCCTAGCTCTTCAGATAATGTTCTGTTTCAGCCCTGGTGGTCACAAGTATCATGCATTGGCTTCACTCTTAAAATTTGACTTAGCTCTGCCTTAAAGTTGGGAGTTATGTGATTTTCAAATACCAGTGCCATCCTGGAACACAATACTTCTCACTTGGCAGTCATAAATAGTCCCTGCTGCAGTCGTGCCCTAGTGGCTGTGTGATGACCCAAATAGTCCTCTGTGTGACCCCCAGTCTGTGCACCACCACCGGCTCATTTACTTGCTCATGACTAAAGGGCAGTTTGATTTGTAATGGCTGTGTTTAGTGTGCCGAAAGGGCAACATGATTTGCATATTAGGCCCCCATATTGATCGTGGTTACTAAGTCCCTGTGTGTAATCAGCTCTGGGGTTGCAGGAGTGTTCTCGCCTAGACACGCTGTGGGATGCAGAGCAGATGAAGGGCTGTCAGAGCGACCCCAGGGTCTACAGTCGACAGTACTAGTTGTGTTTGGGCTTGTTAACCATTCCAGACGCATCAAACTCTGCTGGTTGTACAAGGTCAGCACAACCAAGTGGGTCAGGAAGCAGAGGGACATGAGCATAAGATGTGAGGGAGGGTTGGTTCCTATCAACTGCAGCATGGACTGCTGCTGTGGACTGTGGTTAACTCGGAAGTGCAACATTTAGAATTTGTTTGGAGATCATTAAGTTGTGTAACCATATCCGACATGGGATCCGATTTAGCATATCAACATTTCTCATATCACAGTTTGTTATATCAGTGTGCTGGGGAAATCAATAGTCATGTCGTAAGAAGCTATATGGTTGCTCAACAGTTTGGCATTTACATCTCAGTTGGACTCAAAGAGTGCATTCTTTAACATGTCTGACATACATCAGTTTGTGTCCAGTCCTGTCTGTGCAAGATGTTATCTCAGTCCACATTTTCAAGAGAACTATCTGCCAGAAGCGATCAGAAAGACGTTCCAAAACTCAAATACTCCAAAGGTTTTAGATTTTACACTTAAAGGTGTGGTAGGTCATTTAGGAGAAACCAGCTTGAGTGCGCTAGAATTTGAAAATCTGCCACTTCCTTCAGACTTCCTTACAGAGCCCCTCCTCCAACACACACGAACGCACACATGACCAATGAGGGCATGAGATAAGTTTGTGCACAGATGGAAGGCTGACAGGCAGGTAGGCCATCCAGTTACTTTAGCCGGGCTGGCTCAGATTGGTCGTGCTTTTTACAGTACTACGGCTTCCACAGATGACGTTGTTTATGGATTTATTGTCAAAGCACTTAATATATTTATTGCTATCGGGATGTTAAGAGCACTCCATGAAATATAACAAAACGTGTATCTCGAGCCGGTTTCTCAAACTTACCTACCCCACCTTTAAGGTTCGCTGTTTTGAAAATAAAGACAAGATGTCCAGCAGTTATTTTTGAGGACAGGTGCAGAGAAACATCTCATTATCTAACTACCTGCTGAGCATATTAGTGTGTTGGTTTGTTTGGACAGCTTGAGACTGAAGAGGATCACATATCTAAATCTGTGCCTCTAATAACTTACACAGTAAAGGACGACGGAAATGTTCATATTAAAGGTGGGGTAGGTAAGTTTCAGAAACCGGCTCGAGATACACTTTTTGTTATATTCCATGGAATGCTCTTAACCCTTTGGAGTCGACCGTCACGCCGGCGTGATCAGATCACATGACCTGTTCAAGCCGGCGCCGCATAAAAACAACAGTCCGGACAACATTGCTGTGTGTTTCTGTCGAAAGTACTGGCTTGAAACTATATCCCAGTCTTTGTTTCATGCAAAAAGACCCAGTAAACACGGAGAGACGATGATATAAAGTTAATACATTTCAAAAGTATGAATAATGGAAGCACATATTTTAATATCTTCGCCGTATTTTATCATTTTACGAAACGGAAAATACTGGAAACTGTAGATTCTGCTCAACAGGATGTATTTACCAGGGAGGGGGTGAGGTAATCGGGTAAACGGAGTGATACGAAGCGAGACGAAAAGAGACGAAGAGGGACGGCGGGAACCAAAGACAGACGCCGGGAAATGGAGAGAGACGAAGATATACGAAGACAGGCGGCGGGAGACGAAGAGATACGGCGGGAGACTGCGATTGAAGTAAAGTGACAGACAAACATTGAGAATTTAGATATAGTTAGATAGATTTAGAGTTTTGAAGATTCAACTATGATGAAGAGAACTCTGAACCAGGGTTTCCGCTAGGATTTTTTTCTCGCCGGTCAAATGTCCGGGCAGAATTTATTTTACCGGACACATTTGAAAATTACCGGTCATATTTCAATAATAATAATAACAGTTGTGTAGCAGAGTTTCCGTTGGCAGGTAATTACCGGACTATGAGCAGATATGCTGAGGTTTAAAACTCAGTTAATGGGCTCATTTTTATATTGCTTCAGTTTATAATCGTAACAGATCGAAAAATTCAGATTCATTTTTCAATAAATTATTCCACAAACAACATAATTATTACATTCAAACAAACTACTTGTAGTAGATAACGTACATTATTCAAAAGTTTACATCAACTTTGAATAATAACACGGGAGAAACGGATCCTCTCTTTTCCCCTCTCCCTCCCTCTCTCTCTGACAGCCCGTCAGTTTCTCATGCAGCTCCTGCAGCTCGCTAAACAGAGGGCGGGGCTTCAGGTGATCATGCAGAGCTGCGTGTCTCGGTCAGACTCAGCAGCTGATCTGATCTCTCTCGCGTGTCCGGTTATACTTCACTCGCGTTTATGTCCATATCGATCAGATCCAGCTCTCCTGA